TGGAAGAAAAATCCTAACTCAATTGGGGATTTCTAACTTTGTAAATTGGAGAATTTGGGAACTCCAAGGAGGAAAGGACTTCATGGATGAAAATTATCATACCTTGATACCAAAAGCATGGAAGCAATGGAGGATTAGTAGGCTTGATCTTGAAACCCTATCTTTCTTCTTCTACTTCTAGATAGATAAATATTTAAGAGGAAAAACTTGATCTTCTTTTTAGAGAAATATTTTGGAGAGGAGACTTGTTCTTCTTTCAGAAATTTGAGAGAATCATTTCAATTGAGGGAAAATTTGGGGGTTAAAATACTTATATAAGGGTCTTAGACATAGGAAAAATGATGTAGTATAGGGATAAAATAATTAATAAAAGATCCAACTCCCCGTAAAAATAAGTATAGAATCACCAACGACAGACCACGACTGACGGACCCGGGACTGACCGACGGTCCGTCCTGCACGGCAGTCGATTGGTCGTCAGAGAGTGGATTTTGGGGCCCTGACCTACGGACTCCTAACCACGTACCGTGGTCTGACCGACGGTCCTTTGGCTAGACCATGATTCATGGCCCTTTGGGCATCCTAGGTTACCAGTCGATGGACCACACCTACAGTCCGTGGTCCTATCCACGAGCCGTGGTTGGCCTCCGTGGATGGCACCTGAAACTCCTAAAATTTGCTATCTTACCCTCTGTCGAATACGGGGTGTTACAACAACAAAATTACCCATATGTGACATCGATTTTGTATCCGTGCACCTATAAATTATTTGTTAATTACTTGAATTTCTAAAATCTTAGTTTATTTGTGACTATTGATACCAAAACCATTTTCGTAAATTTGGTGGAACCATCCACCCATGTTCCTTACCCGTTAAACATAAATTGATTTACACTCTCAATTTCTTGATATAATTCCTTGCATTATATCACTCTCTGTGGGATTTGACCCCGACTATTAGTTGGATATTTTTATTAACGATTGTCGTTACTCTTTGAATTTTTTCTACAGAGTAGTTTGAGCGTTATCAAAAATGGTTTCGTTTCTTCCACGAACATGGATTGCCAACAGGTAAAAACATCGTGAACGCGCCACAGTCCCTCGAAAGTGAACAACCGAACAGTTCTAGGTAATAAAAGGTTATGGAGTTAGCATAAATGGGGCAGATTCTTCATTCCAAAGATCCAAAATTCTCTAGTTCTCATCCTAAATTTCCTTCTTATCTCTCTTCCCTCAAGTCTTTAAGCTGTGTGTGTGGAGTTAGCATCTAAGGTATGGTTTCTTCCCCTCTTATAATGAATTCTAGCATTGGTAAGTGCTTGATATGGTCTTGTTGAGTTTCGATTTAATCATGCTTAGTTTTTGAAATTGTAAGGTTGTTGTGTTCGTTTGTGGTTGTTCATGATCGGTACTCACTAAGTTAGTGTTTTGGATGCAATTGAGGGCGTGAATTAGGTGAAAATTGTGCCTAAAATGCTGCACTCTACCTATTTGTCGAAATGCCTTAGCCAAACCTTTGAACTCTAGGGAAGACAACTCCGTGAATGTGCCTAAGGAACCGCAAATGCGGAGAAATCTGATCCAAGATTCTCTATAAATGTGCCCTAGTACCCGCAGATGCGGAGGAATCTGATCTAAGATTCTCTGTGAATGTACCCATTAGTCTACGAATGCGGAGTTGTGATTCTCATTGAGCCACGAATACGACCCTCCTCCGCAAACGCAGAGGAGACAGTGATGGCAGAAAAAATAGTAGCTTCGTATAGGTAAACTCAAGCATTCTTTTGATGATTTCTATAGCTTAAATACTTTATAATACATTGTTTTAAGTGTCTTCAAGAACTTTTAACATGTTGGCTTTATTTGTAGGTATTTTGAGTCAAAAATAGCTTTCAAAACCAATCCAAATGATCAAGAAATGGCTCTAGAAAATGAGGAGGAAGAGTATTACGATGAGAGTAGGTTCCTATCAGCTAAATTTGCCCAGATATGAGAAAGGCATAGCTTGGACAAGCTCAAGGAGGGGTAATGGACTTCTATGGTCAGTTGATTTCTAGAGGTTGGATACGCTTTCCTGATGAGCCTATCAAGGATAATCACCCGTTCATGGTAGAGTTTTATGCGAATGCCATTGAGACCGACTTTGGTGGAGTGGTGGTTACAACAGTCTGAGGTGTTGAAGTCTACTTTTGTTTGACAATAATGCCCTATATGGACTCTCGGATGCTAATAATGAGGGATTCATAAACAGGTATAAATAGTTGGGCAACCAGTGGCTTGTTAACAAACTGTATGGCGGTGAGCGTCCAGAGTGGTTTACATCAAACCGAGGGGTTGATTGTCATGGGTTCACACCCGGGATGAAGTCTTAGCTATCTATCATATCTGCTTGGATCGTCCCTTTCACCCAAAATACTAGGTTACGTTAGACATGGTTGTGCTTATTGTTGTTGTTATGGATGGAATGGAGATTGATGTTGGTAGATTGATCGTGGACCATATTGTTGAGTGGCTCTAGATAGAGCCAAGAGTATCCTATTCCAATCTCTTATTACTAGCTTGTGCTATGATGATGGGGTGATAAAACGCCCTACAGATGAGGAAGAAAATCAGTTAAAGAGATTCATCTCTTAAAAAAGGGGAGACTAAGAGACATTATCAAGAAGAAATAGATTGATGTAGACGATCCTGAGTTTGACTAGTTCACTAAAATAGTGTCTGCATCTAGTGCTACCACATCTGCAGGGCCTCTTAATTATGGGCCAAGCACCATAAGGCACCTCTCCTCCCAGATCCATAAGGTCTGAGAGATGGTGGAGAGCATTCCTTCTGGCTCATATGGAGCTCCCATGTCTATGGGTGTTCCTCTACCTACCATTGCGTATGTAGTTGCTTCTCAGAAAGATACATCTAAAAGGCCTGAACACTTGACTCGGAGGCAAGGCAATATCGAGTAGAGGCAAAGGATATTCCAAGAGAATGAGCAGACAAAGAGAAATTTCATGGGAGAAAATACTTGACCTTTGTGAAGAACACTTTCTAGCTTTTGGGATTTTAAAACTTTGCTCTTGAATTAAACAAATTGAATTTGAATCCAAAGTGGGTTTACTTCTAATTGCATAATTTCATGTTACCCTTGGCTTCTTTCATGGAAAGTATATTTTCTTTGCTTTTTTGTGATGGGTGGCTAAAACCCCAAGATCTAGTGGTACAATTATGGGGTTGGGTGTTCATTAAATGTAGTGGGTATTGTGTTATGCTCTGTTTTGTTATTTTTTATACATAAATTCGGTATAATTAGCATGAGGTATATATAAGGTTTAAGGTTGCAAACTTAATTCCTACTTTCGATTCCTGGTCGATGCTCGAAAGAGATCAATTGGAGTGGGTAATTAATCCAATACTAGCAATTTAGGTTTGATGTCTGTAACTTGCTTGAAAATAGAGGTTATGGGTCGGATCTATTTGACCTATTTCTGTATCAAAAGAGATAATAGAGTACGGCATTGGGTTGTTTAGATTGGCATATAGATGAGACTGAAAGGAGATTCTATGCATAGATGCTTTGAGATCAAAACATGATTAGCGTCATTGAAGAATACCTAGCCTATTCATGAATGTTCATCACTATAGAGCAACACAATTATTCATATGTGACATCAGATTCCAATCCCCGCACCTCTAGATTGCTTGTTAACTCTTAAATTCTCTGAAATTTTACTTTAACTATGACAATTGATAACCAAATCTTTTTATTAAATTGGTGGAATCATCTAGCCACTTGTTCTCACTATTACAAATGAGAAATTTTACAATCTAAATTTCTTGATAAGAATTCTCTATAATATACCATTACTGGTGGGATTCGACCCCAACTCTTCATTGTGTTTTTATTGACTATGACCACTGCCCCTTTAAATGGGTTTTAAGGAGGACATTTGATTTTTATCAAAGTCCCTTTTGATCTGATTCAATTTCTAACTAGGTGATTTTGTTGGATTCTTGGATTTGTTTACCGCGATCGTAGTCTGGGAGAGGTTGTGGAAGTTTAGGTAATATCTTTAAGTTCTCTTATTAGTCTTAGCTATTTTGTGTATCTGACGGGATTATGGGGGTCCATTCAGGTTTTACTTAAACTTGCACACAAGTGTAGCTTCTGGACTTATGGGACTCTAGTTAGGTTTACTTAGTTATACTTACTTCTTATTTGTTTTAGTACACTCATGTGCATTCCCTTTTCCCCATTCTTTGACCTCTGTGTGTTCAATTTATGCATTTCATATTGCCTTTACTTTTCTTACCCAGTCGGCCTATGATGTCTACTGAGTACCTGTTGTTTAGGTATTCATATTACACTCTGCATCTATTTCGTGATGCAGGTCCAAGCACCAGTTACCAGCGTTGATATTGAGATTACAACTTCCAAATCTGAAGGCGAGGGTTTCTGGAATTTACTTGTCTCCATTTGTATTTTGTTGACTAGTCTTTTACATTTTGAGACAACTCTTTATATTTTAGGTCCACTTTTGAGACTTGTACTCTTTTGTTTAGCATGTCTATACTTGTGTTTTCTATGTTCTGGGAGGGATCCTTTTTTTTGGTTGAACGAACACATTTTATTCTCAAAACTTATAGAATCAGTTACAGCAAATCAAAAGTATGGAAATGAAACAAGCTAGTCCATCCTATACAATTCCATCAACTATTCCTACACTTTCCTATTTATATAATTGCTCTATCCAGTATCTATCTTTACACCTATGCTTCCTTTTTAGTATTTCAAAGATTCTCACTTTACTTTCCATTTGTATCTTCTGCAATATCATCTGTATTCTTGGCACTTTCTGATTCCAAACTGCATCATTCCTCGCCTTCCATATATAATATACTAGTGCCCCCAGTATTGCCCATATCAGCTCTCTACTCCTTTTTCCTGTTACTTTCCTTGTTACTCCTTTCCATATCTCTTGTAGTCCCATGTTTCTTTGTTTAGTCTTCAGCTAATTCAAAATGTCTTCCAAACAGGCTTTGGAAAATTCACACTCAAAAAATAGGTGAGCATTAGTTTCCGGATAAGAACCACACAGTGGGCATGTTATATCTTGTCCAATGCCCATTTGCACCAGTCTCTCTCTAGTCAGTAGTCTGCATCGGATTGCTAACCAGAAGATAAAACTGTGTTTTGGGACATTTGTACGGTTCCACACTGCCCTCCACCAGTCCCTTTGTTGGCCTTCATTTTGCTTCCATTGATAGCCACTCTTGATCGTATATATACCAATAGGCCTCAGCCACCTATTTCCCCTGAATCCATCAGCAAATTTGTTCTTAACATTACAAATTTTCTTCCAATACCAGCAACTATCATGTGAAGGCCTGTAATTCCACCAATCTTCCCCTTTCAGATAGACATGATTAACCCATTTAACCCACAAATTATCTGCTTTATTTGCAATATTCCATACATACTTCGCAATTGCTGCCTCATTCCAAACCATACAGTCTATGACCCCCAATCCTCCCTCTTTTTTGGACATACACACTATATCCCAGGCTACTAATGGTGGCTTCGTAATATATACTTTCCCACTCCATATATAGTTCCTGCATATTCCAGTGATGTCTTTTAGTACCCTTTTCGGCAGGACAAACATACTAAGCCAATATGTATTCATATGCAATAAGACTGAATTGACTAATTGGACTCTTCCTGCGTAGGACAAATTCCTAGTTCCCCATACTTTTACCTTCATTATCATCTTTTGCACCAACATTTCACAATCTATGGCTGATAATCTCTTTGTTGTAATTGGAACTCCCAAAAACTTAAATGGGAGTTTGCCTCTAGTATATTCGGTGAGCTCACACAAATCCTCAACTATTGTGTTCTTTATATTTGTTGTGAAGATATTTGATTTCTGTGCATTTGTTTGTAATCCCGAGCTATCATAGAATGTTCTCAACCCACGTAACATGAGAACTACTGATTAAAATTGTCCCTTACAAAAAATAAGCATATCATCCGCAAAACACATATGATTCAATTTGAGCCCATTGCATTTTGTGTGGTATGTAAACCCTTTCTGTTCAGCCACCCAGTTCATCACCCTTGTAAAGTATTCCATACATATCACAAATAGTAATGGTGATATGGGATCACCTTGCCTTAGTCCCCTTTTTCCTATGATGTTCCCATAAAGTCCTTCATTTAACGCTATCTGATACTGAGGAGTACTGATACATTCCATGCCCCATTTGATGAATTTACTAGGGAAATTGAGTCTATACATCATCTCTTTCACAAATCCCCATTCTACTGTATCATAGGCTTTCCTGAGATCAATTTTAATTAAGCAGCTTCTGGTGGTGTTCTTCCTGTTATACAGCCTAACCAGGTCTTGGCAAATTAGTATGTTCTACACTATATTCAGGAGAGATCCTTTTATTATATATATATATATATATATATTGGCTTTCTTCCGCTTTATATTCTATTTCTGTATTTAAATTTTTTCTTCCGCTTTGTTTCTACCCTTAAACCCATTACTTGTCGTTCCAAGTTACAAGTTAGTTTACCTTTAAAGGGGTTATAGCAGGTGTCATCATGACTCGAGAAATTGGGTTGTGACATAATTTATTTCAAAGAATAACATTTCTCTTTTTATTTTTTCATCATGTGTAAACACATTATTTTTGTAACACCTCGAAATATAGTATGCTAAACTAGGGCTAAGTGAGAGGTCAAGAGCCAAGGAAGGAAGCTTGGCCAGCCTTCACCAAGAACTGTCTTACCTCACACAACCACCATGACGGCTCGTGGTGAGGTTCGTGGAGGGCTAGGCAGTAGCTAGGCTACACTGTCCCAAATGAGGTCCCTCCCCTCAAGCCACTTGACAGCTCATGATGGCTACCACGGCCGTGAGAGGTGTCGTGGTAATGCTTAGATTTTTAGGGGTTAAGGGAGGGGTTGCCTATCTACTGGTCCATGGCCATAGAGGGAACTACGGATCGTGGTGGGGACCATGGCTCGTGGAGCCTCACGTGGTCATGAGACAGACCACTGTAAGTTAGGGGTTAATTGGTCTTTTCTGGTTTTAATTAGGCTAAAGCTATGTCATTTTTCCTAAGCCTAGAACCACTATATAAGTCATTTAAACCCCAAAACTTATTCAAGTCATTATTTCCAAAACCCAAAAGAAATCCCCAAAGTTCTTCCTCTCAAATATTTCTCTCTCTAGAAACTTAAGAAGAAGAAGATTCAAGCTAGGATCAAGGTCAAGCCTCAATTCCTCCATTGAAGTTAAGCATTAGGCATTGAGGTATGATAGTTTTCATCCATGGATTTCCCAAATTCCTTTATTTTCAAAGGTAGAACTCCCCAATTGAGTTAGGATTTTCTTCAATTGTCATGGGTTCTCTTCAATGTTGATTTAATTGATTGAATTATGATCTCTTATGCATGAATTGATAAAATATGATGATTTTTATGATGATTTCCCCATGAACCCATGTAACCCCCCATGTTTTCAAGTTATGAATCATCTGATGTGGGATTTTGATTGAAAAGGAAGAGTTTTATGAATTAAGCATGTATTGCAATCTTTACATGAAATCATGATGAATCTGTATCTAACCTATGTTTTCTAAGTATTGAAGATTGAAAGTAGATTTTGAACCTCAAGAGGTAAATTATGGAATTATGCATTTTCTTATGAAATCTATACAAATGTTTTAATGGTGCTTTGAGAGTAAAGTACCATATGATGATGTTGTGGTTGTGTTGTTGAAAGGATATTCTCATAAATACATATTACTATGATGTGAAAGGTTTTCTAACATAGTAAGGATTCTTAGGTTGAAAGGATTTATCACCTAATTGAATCAAAGAGTAAGAGCTACCCTAATGAAACTAGTTTGGATTGGTTATCTTAGGATACCTTTCCATAGATTATGAGATAAGTCAAGACTTAATAACTACTCCGTGGGATTTATGCTTAGCCTCGAGAGGATATTAAGATGGAGACTCTCACGTTAGTAGAGGTCGGGTTTCTAGAAACAACCTCCTTATCCCTTACCTATATGCCCCCATAGGATGATTGTCTCAAGAGACATTAGCTAGTGGAAACACTTAAGCTAGAAGTTCATGGTCCTTACCTTGGCAAGTAGGACAACCCTTTTCGGTGTGGGAGACACTGGGGGATCATGTTATAGCTCACATGGTATCTATGTCGGTTAAGGCTAATTCCCCACATTAATAAGGAACAAATGTTACTTCAAGAAGTATCTCATATGTGTTCAAAGGTTTAAAGATGATTAGCTTGCATTGGCCTTGTTTTATGAAGTGTGTTTTCTAACCTTCTTATATCATGTTAACTTGGTCAATTGCATGTCACGAAATTAAATGTCCCTTTTTGTATGTTTTAAATGTTTTATGCATGGCTATCATACTTGGTACATTGTTTTGTACTAACGCATACTCTTGCCTACATTTTTTTGCAAACGTAGGGTCCGACAGTTAGGGTCATGAGTTTCGTGGCTAGAAGTTGACTTGATATATTTCTGAGCTTTGGTGAGTCCTCATGCTTCGAGGACGGACTTTCATCATTTGAGTTCCTTTTCTTGTATTTCACTTTTAGACATGATGTATGGGCTAGGCCCAATTACATCCTATTGTATTAGATGTCTATGATGAGACAAGAGTTTAGACTTCCGTTTTTATTTTATAAAAATGTTTGGACTTGAAATATTGTTTACTCTTATTGTTCTATTTCTTATGTTATGAGAGCTAAATGTCTTATATGGAGTCCTTCGGGGTTCTATACGCCATGTTACATCTAGGGTGTACCCCTGGGTCGTGACAATTTTGATTAGTAATTTTTGCAATTATGGCATATTGATTTAATTCAAAACTAATTTAGAAAAATATTTAACTGACGGTCAAGTAATAGGTTGGTGTGTATCATTTATTAAAAAAAAGACAGTTAAGAAGGATTTAGTTTTTAAGATATTTGAAAGTAACATAAAGTTTCTATTCAATATATTTTTTTTCCAAAATTGGAAAAAATAATAATGTAATTCTATAAGAGACACATTTTCTATAAGCTTATGGCCATGTTCAGTGGATACTACTTATTCATATTTAAATCACACTAATTCTTTACATAATAAGAAAAGTTTGACTCAAAAAAATTGGTTAGTATAAGACCGGATCCAAAACCTATATATATTTCAAGATGAAACACCCTCATTTAGATTTATTCCAAAATAGTTATTGTTGACAATAAGGAATTCTCTAATTCAAACTACTAAAAACTTTATATAATCCAAAAATTTCAGATATATAGGGATCAATCTTAGCAAAGACAAGAACAACAACAACAACAAAGCCATTTTTGAACAAACACATACATCATAATCTTTCTCCTCTTTAGCCATACTGAGAAACAAAGTAATGCTTGCTTTGATTGAAAATGAAACTGATAAAAAATTCTCATACAAGAAAAGAAAAATAGGGTTCCTGAAAAAGGCACAAGAACTCAGCACTCTTTGTGACATTGAAATGGTTGCCATCATCTCTAGTCCTTATAGTGATGAACCTAAGGTGTTTCCCAATCACGGTGCACCAATCAACACCTTTCTAAAGTTTAAAGAATTGACAGCGTTGGAGAGATAAAAAAACATGGTGACAGGAGAAGAATTCACTGAGAAAAGGATCAATAAGTTGAAGAAAAAACTACTAAAGGTAAGAAAGAAAAATAGGGCCAAGGAAATTACGACTAAGATGTATGAAGTATTGACTCAAAAAACTATTTCCTTTGACATGTATCCTTAAGATCTCAATGATATAAGTTATGTGATTAAGAAGAACCTTCAACTGGTACGTGAAGCAATGAAAAGAAGGTTGGGGACGAGGGGTTTACATCAAATGTCCCTCAATCCGCGCTTTCAACAACAATGACTTCTATAATGCCTTCACCAATTATAGATCCTTCATTGTCTTCTCCAATGCCTTCTTCAATGACACCACAAATGGACCCTTCAATAGAGATCCCCCCAATGGGTGCATCAATGCAAATAACTAACTACCAGAACTACTCTACTGACATTCCACAAAGTCCTTCATCGACTGAGTTACTAAATTGGAATAATGATGATGTAGTAACTTTCTTGGATGACTTATCACTAACAATATTAATGATCAAGATACAAACCACACCAATAATATATAAAGTCTTTGGACTAGTGTGGTTGTCTTTTTATTAGTACTATTTTATATGTCCATGTTGTCCATGGAAAATTTGTGTCTTTAACTATTTTGCTTATCTAAGTGTGTCATAAAACTCTCCACATAACTTTTACTTTGTCCTTATATTGAGTGTTCGTTTATCGTATTGCATGAATTATTTTTCAAAGTTTGTTATTTCACTCGCTTATTAAATATATGAACAATTTACATGTTTACTAGTTTGTCATTTATTTATTTATTTGCGCTTTTATT